CTGTAGCAAAAGCCATATATAGTCAAGCAGGGGTCATTTCGTAGAAAAAGAGGTGCAGGAGCTCATTAGCATAACTTATTTGCATATACCACACCCCCTAACATCACCAGAAGTGTGTCAGAAGGCAACACCTACCGCTCAGGCTCCACTGGACTGTTTTGGATTGCTAGCTATTGGGGGGGACGGGGGTCATGCAGATCTGTCCTGGCAGAGGAGGGAGAGCTTGTACCTGAATAAAACTTAATCTTAAAGGTGCCACTGAACTGTTTTTGGGGGGGGGGGGGATCTGCAACTTGCCTGGCTGCTTCTTGCTCTGTCTAAGGGCTGCTGGGAGCAGGGGGTGGGACTTGTTGCATGTGCCTGCCCCCTGGGCTCTTTACTGCCGGAGCTCCGCTCTTGTGCGCTCCTGCAGGAAATTACCCCTGTAGTCAAGTGGGGTAGCCCGGCCAGCCCGGTGGCAACCGTGAATAAAACTTTGTTGCGCCCAAAGGTCCCAAAAGCCATGTATACTTTGTGTTGGAACTTAGAGATCAATAAGAGTTTACTTTTACATTGGGAGTGCCAGGGGGGCCTAGGCCAATGTGCTATTTCTCACTACTTCTGTGCAATGCTCCCTCTAAGTGGTGGAATCTTGTGAGCAAAAATTTTACTTTGTGAACTACCGGCATTAAAGTTGTGAGCCAGAAATTTGGCTACTGCACAAACTAGTTTGCTCTAGAGCCAACCTCCCTGAGCTAAGACAAAAATGTGTCAGCCAGAGGCTAAAAAACTATGAGCTAGCGCACACTAACTCAGCTTAGAGGGAACACTGGTTCTGTGCAATGAAATGTGTTTCCAGGAAATTCCCACTCATGAACCAGTTTGATTCCAAAATATGTCCTTTTTAGACTTGATTCTACATGTTTTATGTCACTTTGATAGAAAAATGCAGTTCCAATTTCTTCACTTTCATAAAATCTTTCAAATTGAGATGTTTCTGGTAGGTCTTTGATGAATAAATGTAACAATAATTGTATGGAAAGCAAAGTCAATAATTATGCCAAACTCATATATATATTATTGTGGAATCACAAACATAATATGGAACAGTTATCTAAAAGTGGGTGGTAACAAACACAAACCCACAATAAGCATATCTCAAAAGCAGCAAACCCCCTCCTTTCTGGTAGTTCATTGATAGCAACGGTCTTGTAGATTATCTGCAAAAATCTTGTATCCACCCATCACTAACTAATGTCCTTTTGCCCTGTAGCTTTGTTTGAGGTTTCTCTCAAGGAAAACAATCACATAAAACCAAAAAAACAAGAACCTAAATTATTAATATTAAAACCAAGCCACTTCCTGATACAGCACACATTATTCCTGGTCGATTCTGTATAGGATCTTTCCTGCTATGATCATTGGAAGAACCTATCAATTTTTACCACTTAGCTCTGGGGAATTGTTACTTGGGTTCCTTTGTCAGAACCCTGGAATAAAGCCAAACGTTTACAGGCAATTGAGTTTGGTTTTGCCAAAGCATAAGGACAAAGTAACTATCTCAATATTAACTATCTTAAATTCTATGGGGTCAGTTTTTTTAAAGGTACTTCACAGCTAGTTCTGTGGGCTACCATTTCTGAAAAAGAGAATACTAAAAACCTACATTTTAAAAATCATAAGTTAGATCTAGGAATTCCAGATACCAGTATTATTATCTTCATTGTTTGGGGAGGGGGGAGACTAAGAGGAAATGACTTGATTGAGTCCACATAGTGAGAACTCAGACAGTAGAGGTGAAATCTGAACTGGCAAGCTGCTGTATAATAGCTTGTTCTCTTAGTCAGTGTGCTGTACCAGTAAAGATCCAGACCCCATTCATCTTCCAGAGGTGAAAAAGGTAGTTAACCAAGCAAGAAATCATATGGGTTGCAACTACCACCAGCCCCTGCCAGTGGTTTAGTCCCACCAGAGCAATGGGAGAGGGAGAAAAGCCTCGGATTCTCACAATGTCTTGTAGGACTACTAAGCTTTCATGTGAAGAAGTGTGTGTGCACACGAAAGCTTATACCTTGTATAAAACTTCGTTAGTCTTAAAGGTGCCACTGAACTCAAACATTGTTCTTAATGTATAGAGTGATTAGAAATAAAAGCAGCAGGATTAACTTCTATAAACATTCCACTTAAGAGGTATGCCATATTTACCCAAAAGGAAGGCCCCTTTTCCCAAGGTGTGCTGTTTAGAAAAGGAGTCATCTTAAATTTGCATACAGGTTTACGTGAAGTTGTGTGGTTGCGCTCCACCAGCATGGCAATTGATCTGGAGGCATCTGGTGTTGCCTTCTGACTGTCTTGGCTGCCACAGGTCCCTGCAACACTGTCTCCTGCTTTTGGGGGCATGTGCTCCACCACCCGAGCCAGCCTCAGGGCCAGATTGCAGCTAGCCACTACCACTTGCTAGGAGCTCCACTAATCATCTGAATGACAACGGGAGGTCAAGGCTGGAGGTGGAGGATGATCTGACTCCAGACAGCTCTGAGCTGGCCCTGTGCCTTTCCTGTGCAACCATGACCCATCTAATTGTTGGGGCCATGCCTCTCATGAGGAATAGTAGGATATATCTATATTTCCTCTAAGAAACAGGGAGGCATATTTTATGAAGCTTTCTTGTATGGACACCTGTAAAAATTCTTATTGGTCCAAAGCAGCCAAATGAGCATTTATCTATCAGCCTGGACCAATTAACATTGTAAGCTTGAGCGTACATAATTTAAAAAAATATATGAGCAGCCTGATCTGTATTTGTGATTATGATAACTGAACCAGTGTGCTTCCTTTATGATGAATACATGGGTTGCAGCCCAGAGTTCTCTAGCATCCAAAGTGATGTAATGCCTGTCTCTTCCCACTCTCCCAAAGATCGGGTGTTAGACAGTGATTTCCAAATTATTAGCAGCGGCCTGTTTGATGATCGCTGCTTCCTGGTCAAATCCAGTTGGATCGTCCTTAGGTGGCATAAGGCCCCGGTCACACAGGCCGGATATCGCGGGGGGAGGCGTGGCTAATTGCCCCGGCACAGTTTGATCCGCGATTACGCGATCAGACGCACCAGCGGCACACCACCGGTCCTTCCCTTGGCACCGGTGGGTAAACGAGGGAGCGGAGGGGAATGCCGCGCACCGGCGCGATCACACCACGGGCATCTGGAGGCAGCCCGTGGCAAACGTTTACTAGTACCTTGGAGGAGGTACTAGTTTTTTAACTTGCATTGTCGGCGGTAAGCCACGGGTGTGCTCCACTTCCCAGATGTTGGGGTGTGATCATGCCCGGATAATCCACCCACCATTCGTGCCTCTCCCGCAGCAACTTTGCTGTGTGACCAGGCCCTAAGAAACTTTGGGAGATCTGTGTTTTGGAGAAAATTGTACATAAACGTTTTGCTGTAGTTCGCAACATAGTGCATAATGAAGTAGCTATGAAGACACCTGGAATCCTGTCTTTGATTATTTAGAAGTCAGAGGCATCTAGCATGGAAAAAAAGATTATAGACTTTGGTTCTCTCTTTGATTGTTTTTTTCCTTTGAAGTTGGTATACCTTCTATCATTCCCTGGAGAACGAAATGTGTTTATATGTGGATACCTCATTTGAGGTGATTCTCACTGCATTCAATATTTAAATTTATGTTCCTTCTATTGATAATGTTAAGGTTGTTTCAGTGTATCGTCTCAACTCAACTTCTACTTTTCGTGGTCCTTGTATTTCTCTATGATATGTAAACTAAGCCTACTGCTCATTAAAATTTATTTTATTCAAAAAAAACCAGACAGTGATTTCTCTACTTCAGTAGCCTTAAGGCATCTTGAATGTTTTCATATCTCATCCTAAATTGGATAATCTGGGCAGCCATGATCATTTAAGATGGGTACCATGGAAAATACACTACATCCGTACAGACACCTGCATAGTGCATAGTACTTTACCCTACTGTAGAAGCAGACTGTAGCCTCTGAAAACTCAGACACAGGTTTTGTGTTACTGATTCTGGAGTTCCTCTATATTAATTTGGTATTTAACACAGGATTCTGGGAAAAACAAAACCCTTACAATAATTCAGATTGTACAGTTTAAGATCTTGTAATGTACTTTGTTCTCTGTCAACAGTCATGTGTAATGCCTTTATTTTAGGACCAACCAAAATAGCATAAGAATAGGAGGTGAGACTTCCTACATACCTTGAAACTCTTCCCCTGTCCTTGTACTTTTTGTGTATAAACGTTTTTGGGGGAAGGTTTTAAACTATCATCTTTTCCAGTTAAATATGGTATAACCAATTTCACTAAGTTTTAGAGTAAATGTTACTTACATTTCCGCA